GGGATGATTCAATTTAAAAGGGGGAGAGTTATCCAGCACAAGATCCCAGCCTCCTTACCCAAGTTATAAACCAATTCTTTGAAAACAGTTCTAAACTGAAACCCAAGTCATAAACAATTTCTTATAAACAATTCTTAGCTGGGAAACCCTTACACAGCTTTCCCACAGAATCCCAAATTGCTTCCCCACTTCAGTAACATAAACAAAGCTGAGTCCACAAGTTAATGTAAACACAAGCATCCGGTCAACACCCGGCGAACCCAAAAACTGCAGAGTAATCCGCTTAGCATAATCTCACAATCGAGCAGAGAACTTGGTCATCAAATTTTCCAACTCTCTTGAGTCCAACTCGTGTCCAACTGTTAAGGAGTTCCCCAATTCTCTCAAACCGAGGTTTGCTTATCAGCTAATCGGCCTTTGGTCTGACAGTCCGTTTTGGCATCTGAGAAGATCAGTTCTAACCTACATTAATTGTGAACAGTGAAATAAAAGTCGATATTAAGGAGAAATTAAAATTAAGGGAAAATACAAAAAAAATATTTTTCTTTAATAATTCACTAATGAAATAATAAATTTGCATACATCGGCTGCTTATGCGGTCAGGACATGGGAATATACTGACACTTGCACTTCCCGTATGTCTGGCTTAGAGGCGCGTTTGCCTGATCGTATTTCAGTTGGCCAATTGAGTTTAACAGCCGGGACTTTATGTTTGTGTAGGTATACTGTAGCACAATGTTGGCATTGGTAGTGGTAACTCGCTACAACGATATATGCATACTACACTAGTATTTAAATCATTATAAAATTGGGTAGAAAAGGAAAAACGTTATTAGATTAATGAATGTAAAAAAGGCAATATTTGTTTGTACTCATTGTTCATGCAAGAAAAGCGTTAAATTTCGGGAGGCGGTGTAGAGCGGCAGTTTTCTCTAGATGTCTACACCTAGCGTGCTCGCATTGCCCTTTGCTCTCCCTCTCCATCTTTTCTCAAAGTCTCCGCTTCGCTCTGGAGCGCTTAAGTTAAGTTAGGCTTGAGCAGTTATATTTTGCAAGTGTCACAAAAAACACCCACGCACGTCGCGTAAAAAACGCGAAAGAACACCGGTGTTTTTGCGTACAATTTTTCTTGGGATTTCACCTAATTTCAGCAGCCCCAACAGTTATGGTCCTTCGAGCTTTCATAATAATTGTATTTTCTTCTCCTGGAGTGTTCTTGCATTTTTCCCAGCAGCAACGGTGGCTCGAACCGCTTCAGATAAGTTCCATTTATTTTTGTTATTGGCCGGTGTTGGGGCGGGGTGGCTTGATCGCTGAAATAGGTGAAACCCCAAGATCGAATGGTACGCATAAAAACACGGGGGTACTTTGGGGTTTTTACGCGACGTGCATATATGTTTATTTGTACACTTTGAAATAGTAACTGCTTAAGCCTAACTTAACTTAAGCGATCCAGAGCAGAGCGGAATCTTAGTGGAGAGATGGACTGCGGGAGCGGACGGCAGTGCGAGCGCGCGAGATGTAGACATCTAGATAAAACTGCCGTTCGACACTGCCTCCTAAAATTATACGCCCGCGGGGTATGGAACTTAATATTCGGATGGAGTATTCTTAGGAGGGACTTTTTGTACGAAAACTTGTGCTGAATAGGACGAAATGGTTTGTGGAACTGAGGCTGATACTGGCCTTGGAGGGTCGGATGGAATCGGCGGAGTAGTAGGACCGCTGTTTCGATGCAGCAATGTGTGATGCCGATCCTGGCAGGTGAGACAGTTTTGAGCGCTTGTGCAATCCCGGAATTGATGGCTGCTTGCAAAGCAATTGGAGCACAACTGCTTTCTTTAGATGTAGGCTAGGCGATTATTTGTAGGAAGCCTGGACATATACGTACGGGGTGGTTCTTCTTCGAACACAGATCGCAGCCTTTGGGTATCGGAACTAGCCTTGTGTTGAAGGAATTTATCTTTGGAAAATCTGCCACTCGATTTGTGTCTTTGGACTGGGCGTGGTGAAGATTGGCAGATCGGAAGCTATCGACGGACTCAAGAGTTCGATGGCGCTCCATCAAATAGGTATCAAGCTCAAGCCACGTAGGAGTTTCGGCTTTATTTTGGATGGATTGCTCCCATAATGAGAGAGTGAGCTTTGGCAGTTTTGTCGAGCACATATAAACCAGGATAGGGTTCCAATACTCAACATTAACACCGGAAAATTTTAAGGAAGATAAGCAACCTTGAAAAATGCGTTGAAGTTCTTTTAAGGCTGCTCCCGACTCCTGTGCTATGGTTTGCACATTGAAAAGTGTTTTCAGGTGACTGTTCACTTGCAATCGCTTATTTTCGAAACGCTCAGTTAGGTTATTCCAGGCTGAGCGAAAGCCATCATTGGTGAGTGGGGATCTTGAAACTATGGAATGAGCGTCGGAATAATTTTTCAACGGGCGTTAGACTAGGATTGTCTATGTATATTGCCGTGAAAGGGTCCCGGAAAGTGGGCCAGCGAAGATAATCGTCAGAGAAAACCTCTGTGTCGATAGGAGGGAGCCGACAGCCATAAGACGTGAAATTTTGGGACGGAGTTACTGGAGCTTACGGTATTTGGGAGGAGCCTTTTTGGATTTGTTCCATCAGCTGTGCGGCAAATATTTCATAAGTGGAGTACGTTTGGACTTGGACTTTAGTATGGATTTCGTGTCAGCGGCGCTCTCGCCTGCAGCTATAATGCAGTAGGAGCATATGTCGTATGCTGCCTTTACCGTTTGCCACAAGGAATTGAAGTGATCTCATCGGATTTTACAGGCGGATAACGTTGGGGTAGGAGCACCTGGAGCGTTCACAGTGGCCTCAAAGTGGATCAGGCAGTCAGCTGTGGCCATAAATCGGGTTTAAGCGGATTTTACTGATGTTGCCATGACGTTATATAATTTAGAATTTTAATTCAGAAGTAAGGAAACGGATTGGAATCAAATTGGAATTTAGGAACCAATGCTCAGTGCCCAAAAATATTCCAGTTTCCCTTGCCCACAGTTGTACACTTTAAACAATTCCAGTAGATATTCCAGTGCTACTATTAAAATCATATATTCCTTTAATATATTTTTAATTCCAATTGTGGACGATTCTAACATTTTTTCCTTAAGAATTCAACTTTTTATTTTTTACTGTGTTCCAGCTGCGTGTTTATATTTACATTAATATTTGTCCAAGACAATATTTCAGGTTCTTTTGCCCACAATTGTACACTTGAAACAATTCTAGTAGATATTTCAGTGCTACTATTCAACTAAAATATTTCTCAAATATATTTTCAATTCCAATTGTGTGCAATTTAAAACTGAGCCACAGTAAAAAATTCCCGATCATAAAATTGTTTATTAAGATTTGGACTCTTTAATATATCCGTTACTCGTAGAGTAAAAGGGTATACTAGATTCGTCGGAAAGTATGTAACAGGCAGAAGGAAGCGTTTCCGACCCCATAAAGTATATATATTCTTGATCAGGATCACTAGCCGAGTCGATCTAGCCATGTCCGTCTGTCCGTCTGTCCGTCTGACCGTCTGTCCGTCTGTCTGTCCGTCCGGATGAACGCTGAGATCTCGGAAACTATGAGAGCTAGGCTATTGAGATTTGGCGTACAGATTCCTGAGCTTCTTACGCAGCGCAAGTTTGTTTCAGTAGACTGCCACGCCCACTCTAACGCCCACAAACCGCCCAAAACTGTAACTCCTACAGTTTTTATGCTAGATAGAAAATTTTAAGTGAAATGTATTGTTCTCATCAAAACCTATCGATTGACCTAAAAAAAGTTTGCCACGCCCACTTAAACGCCCACAAACCGCGAAAACCTGTGACGCCCGCAATTTGCATGCTAGATAAAAAATTTTAACTGAAATGTATTGGTGTCGTCAATACCTATCGATTGATCCAAAATAATTCTGCCACGCCCACTCTAACGCCCATAATTAATTTCGCTTTGCTGCTTGCATATCTCCATTTCCCTTTGAGTAACGGGTATCTGATAGTCGAGGTACTCGACTATAGCGTTCTTCCTTGTTTTTTACTGTGTTCAAGCTGCGTGTGTATATTTACATAAATATTCAAATACATTCCACTTCCACTACTCTTCCTTATACAGTCCACTCCAACTACTTTTCTCGACCTACGATTACTGGTAAATTATTTCTAAAATTAAAAACAAAGGTACAATATCTACAAATTTACACCAGCAAATCGTCTGCAATTAAATTGTGCAGGTAAGAAACAAACGCACCGATAAACAAACATAAGCGAAGTCTTCACAATTCCCGCACCGTTATTTCGCTATTCGCACATACGTATATCGACATTTTCTCCAGCGCACAGTGGGCCGAGGACTCACAATAAATGTTCCTTTCAAAGAAACAAAATTAAAGTCGGTAATTTTTTACATAAATATCCATCCGATATAATAAATATTTATTGAATCTGCCTATCCGATAGTGTGACCGGATATATTAACAAACTTCGATAAATTCTCATTAGATTCTAGTCCGTTTCCGTGTTCTTACTTCTGAATTAAAATTCTAAATTATTTTCCGCCTTAGCTCGATTTATGGCCACAGCCTACTGTCAGATCCAATTTGAGGCCACTGTGAACGTACCAGGTGCTCCTACCCCAATCGTTTCAATTCCGTGTGTCAATCCGTAAAGGCAGCATATGACATATGGTCCGATTGCGTTGAGGCTGCAGGCGAGAGCGCAGAAGACACCAAATCCTTACTAAAAGTCAATTATTACCAAACGTACTCCACTTATGAAATGTATGCCGCGCAGCTCATGAAACAAATCCAATAGGGCTAATTCCTATTACCTCAAACTGCAGTAACTGAGCTCCCTCCTATCGACACAGATGTTTTCTATGGCCGACTTTTCGGGACCTTTTCACGACGATATACATAGACAATCCGAGTCTAAGGCCCGTTGAAAAAGTATTCCATTTTTTTACGTGACCAGTGAGAAAATGGTGAAGGTTTAGTGCTCCAAGCTGAGGACCAATGCACAGTGGTTCCGTCAGAGGCCAAAAATCAAAAAAACGGATTTGAAAATATTTAAATTAAATTTACACAGTTTGTCTCTAAAATGTCCAATCTTCCAATTCGCAAACCGGTTTTCGCTGGAAACCCAACGGTACATTCTAAAAATAGAATCAAAAGCATGAACACGTGTTCATTTCAACAGCGCATCGGAGCTGTGGTGAAATATTTCAAAGCAAAAGCGCACTTCAAATCGGACTGGTAACTGTTCAAGTTGATAAATTTATAATATTCAAAATGGATCTTGAAGCTCAAGGTATTAATTTTACTTTATGAAATTAATTTATACTAACTTGATATGAAATTAATAAAATCTAACTTGATATGTGAAACCTCTTTGTTTGTACCTGTTTTGTGTGTCTCAAATTTGTTTACCTAAAGTTTTAGTTGTGATCCCACACGATTCCAAACAAGGTTTTTTTTTTATACTTATCAGAGTTTTAAGATTTTAATATCGTTAAAGTTAGGTGCGGAATGTTGCGAATGTAGTTGTAATCGTTAATATGCTAACACGACTTCTTATTTTTTCAAGGTCAAATTTTGCCAGCGCGCTGCAGCGGTGCCCCTGTGTCGTCTTTTGTGTCTCTGTTTTCGTTGTGTCTTTGTGTTCGTCTTTTGTGATTGTTTACAGCTTCTATTTGTCAGTTTATTTCTTTTACTTAAAATTGTTCTACTTATTTTTCCGTTTTTCTTTTATAATTTTTGTTTGCATTCCCAAAGGAGATTCGTATCATTGTGTATTTTCACGACATTATATTTTAAATTTATGGTGCACCAAAGGTGGTAGCAACGCTGCGAAATTACGGGAAATTATCGAGGATGTTCAAAATAATATTGAGAATAATAAATTGGCTTACAATATGATTGTTTAATTTATGATTTTTTGATATGATATTATTTTAGTAGGTGTATAGCTTGAAAATTAGACGGGGAAGATATTTCAATTTATGAAATATAAACAAAATAGTTGATTTTTCCTATGGCAACAAATGTAAAACTACACCAACCTTATAGTCTGGGAGTTTAGATAACATAAAAAAAATTTGCATACTAATTTTCTATTTAAGGGGGTCTTCTCATTCAAAACCCGTTTTTTGGACCCTTTTTAAAAAAATTCTTATTTGAAAACGCAAAAAATAATTGAAAATTTTTTTATTTATTGTATTACAAAAGGTTCAAAGTAAATAAAAAAAAAACATTGCCTCGATACGAAAAAAGGTGTCGTCACGGCGGCGATCGTTCCTATAGCAGCTATATCATATAGACGTACGATATGGCCATTTCTTATAACATACATACGAGGTGTGTTTAAAAAGTAAAGTGACTTTTCAAATTTCGCGGGCAACAGTTTTTCGATTATCGATTTTTTTGTTTTGTTATGTTGGTACACTCTTTCGTAACATCTGTACCAAGTTTCAATTGAATCCCCTTTTTTGTTTAGTTGTGAGAGGCGTAAAGGTAACAAGTTGTTTTGCGTGCTCAGCGATTTTTTGCTATCGAAAAATATGGATCAAAGGATTTGCATCAAATTTTGTGTAAAAAATAAAATTAAGTGCTCCGAAACACTTGAAATGTTTACAGTGGCATACGGTGAAACTGTTCTGAGTAAAAAAAATGTTTACAAGTGGTACAAACTCTTCCAAGATGACCGGGAAGATGCCAATGACGAGCCTCGCTCTGGACGCCCAAGCACGTCAACAACTGATAAAAACGTTCAAGCAGTGAAGAAAATTGTTTTGGAAAATCGTCGAATCACTATCAGGGAAGTTGCTGAAGATGTCGATATATCGCTAGGCTCGTGCCATGAAATTTTTTCAAACGTTTTGGGCATGAGTCGTGTGTCAGCGAAGTTTGTTCCAAAATTGCTGAATTTTGACCAAAAGAACCGTCGCATGAGCATCGCTTTTTTGGCCAAAAACAACACCACAATAATGCCTCAGCCACCATATTCACCGGATTTGGCCCCATGTGACTTTTTCTTGTTCCCAAAACTAAAGAGACCTATGAAAGGACGGAGATTTGCAACGATTGAAGAGATAAGGACTGCATCGCTGGAAGAGCTCAAGGCTATACCGAAAAGTGCTTATGGGAAGTGCTTTGAGGATTGGAAAAACCGTTGGCATAAGTGTATTGTATCTGAGGGGGATTACTTTGAAGGGGACAACATTAATATTGATAAATAAATTAATAGTTTTTCTTGAAAATACAAAGTCACCTTACTTTTTGAACACACCTCGTATATTTATAATATTTTTTTTAATTTTGGGGAAAATTTTGTAACAATATAACTACTAAAAGTAATTATGGCCGCAGCTCCATACAAGCCGAACCACTGTGCAATGGCAAGAGAGACCTTACCAAGCAGTTGGATAACTGAAGAATGAGCTGCCCAGCCCGTGCGTGGTCAAGGTGACCGGAAGAGCTTCCTCGAAGCTCTCCAAGATTTGCGCCATCCGCAAGGCCCTCTCGCCCCGGGACGCCAACCGCAAGACCCTCAGGGAGATCCGCAAGGGGTTCCGTCTTCCCCCAGCGCAAGTTCGCCGTCAAGGCCTAGAGGCGTCCTCCTACTGTCTAGTGTGCGTTAAGGGTACTTCGGTCCATGAAGAAGAAAACAAGTAACAAACTAACAAAAAGTTGAAAGTGCTGAGGCGAAAAGTGGTGTATGTCAAGAGCAATGACATAACTTTCGACAAACAGCCTTGACAATAGGGGATCGTATTGTGCGGCCCGCGACGATCCATTGGCACACGAATGTGTGAAGGGGAGGAAATATTGCCGAAGCACAGCCCGATCGTACTGCGATCAATCGACAGCAGAGCTTGTGGGGCAGTGTGGACCGACGACGGACGAACTCTACAGAATAATATTATTTTCCATTTTTATTCTCGATATGTTGGAGAGGACCTAACCAAGATCCCACGACCCGAATACGACGTAGCTTATGCTGGCAAATGTTGCCTGAACATCGGACGAAAATTGGAAATTCTTAAAAATACAAAAAATAAAATTTCCAATAGTATAAGATAGTATGTCAAAAAAACAACACAGAAGCTTTAATTTGTTCCATATTATTTTCAAACCAATTTTCCGATCGTTCCTATGGCTGCTGTATGATATAGACTTCCGATTTTGATAAAATTAAATTCGAAACTCAGAACTAATTAAAAAATGTTATTTCCAAGCGTAAATTTAACTAAAATTAAAAAAAGAGACTAAAAAAAGAGAGACGGACATGGCTAGATCGACTCGTCTAGTGATGCTGATCAAGAATATATACACTTTATGGGGTCGGAAAAGTCTCCTTCACTGCGTTGCAAACTTCTGACTAAAATCATAATACCCCTTGGTCCAAGGAACTTGTGAGATGGTTCCGAGGACGCCTAGCTGGAGGCGACCAAGCGGGTCGCAGGTTGCGGATAGCGAACGGCCTGTAAGGCCAGCTGTGAATAGCAGTAGGCTAGGTCAAACGGATTCCGCCAGACCGAAACCTCTGCAATAAACAGCCCCGGACAGCCAGCGGGTATCTGTCGCTGTTTAGCGGCAGTACCGTCGATGCGACTTGTTCAGCCGCATTTAAATAGTTGCTCTACACAACCCCTTTTTCCCCAAACGCAAACCTACCTCCTTCCTATCCCACACAACATCTCACCTCGGGCCGGACTAAGGTGTAAATCGGACCGTGCCGAGAGTCAGCCTGGCTGAGGGCCCGGGCTAAAAACTAGCTCAGTCTCAAACGGTGGGCTCAGGGAGATGGCGGCCCCCTGCTCTATTTATCGCCTTACCCGGGCATCGCGGATCTCTGCCCGGGTGGACCTTCCCTTTCTCCGCAACTCGTGGGAATCGATTATGGATACCAATAATTATAAAAATAAAAACACAATGGAGCCGGGCACTCCTAAGAAACCCGTGACGGAGGAGAAGATGGGTGCGACAGGATCTGCGAGCGTTGACTCCGCCTGTGCTGGCACCAGCTCGGGGGCTATCCCAAAAGGGCCCCACCCCAAACTGGGGGTGATAGGTGGAAGACAGTCGGCCGCCAGTACCTCTGCAAAGTGCGCGCCGGCGCCAAAAACTGCAGGAGGTATGACGAAGACGGTCGCTCCAACCACCGAGCAAAATAAACACACTTATGCGGAGAAGCGGACTGCCGCGCAGACACTCCGCTCACACAACAGGAGCAAGATTGCCAACCCCTCAGCTGAATGGCTGAAGAAGGTGGAATGGGCGAAGACGGTGCTCCCCAACTACGGGCAAGAGAAGCCTAATGCTGTAAGTACACAGCCAAAGAGACAACGATCTCTAGAGTTGCCTGGACCTGCGGCAAAGAGAACTAGGGTCCAACAGAACCTGTCATTTGCGGAGATAGCGCGGGACAAGGTTCTGATTGGACTGGTTGACAAGGGAAACCCCGGAGGCCGGACGCAGGCTGGTTCCAGGGCAGCGTCAAGGTGGTGTCTTGCGACAGCCAGAGATCAGCTGACCTCTACAAGAAGGCGACGGAGAAGCTCGGAGAGGTGTATCCTGGGGCGAAAATCGTTGCACTAGATTGGTGCGACGTCCCCAGCAGACCACGAGCGAGGATATGGCTGCCGTCGTCCATCAAAACACCGGAGGACATCTTCTTTATGTTGCAAAGGTGCAACCCAAATTTGCCCACGCACGACTGGAAAGTCGTAAAGGTGGAACCTCACGAGGGGCCGATCAGCCAGGCCATCGTGGTGCTGAATAAGGAGTCAGTATCCCCAATAGAGGCCGCTCACGGGGAGCTGAACTTCGGATTCAGTGCCATCCGCATAAAAGTCTACAAGGGAGACTCTAACTCGAAGGAGGACTCGACCGGCAACCCAGCCGAGCAGGTCTTTCCCGAGGAGATAGAGGCTCCTGGAGATGACGAGCCGGAAGATGGCTACTCAACCGACGCGTCGCTAAGCAGAGGGATGCAGGCGATGAACCCGGCGGACGAAGACGACGGCGACCTCAGCGGCAGCGAGGAAGCGGACGTCACGGTGGTGGAGGGGAACTCGGCAGATGTCGCTAAGACTACTGCAAGTGAACCTCCATCACAGTAAAGCAGCGTCGGCTGCCCTCCTGCTCCGCCTGGCTGACGGCGGGGCAGACCTAGTACTCATACAGGAGCCTTGGGTGGTAGGAGGCAAGGTTGTTGGACTGGGTACCAAAGATTTCAAGCTGCTGCTTGATCCAAAAGAAGGTGGGGAAGCCCAACAAGCAACAACAGGGGTGAGTCTCTTTTTAACTTCATCCTTGGCTCAAATCTATTTCTATGCAACAGGGGTAATACCCCACCCTTTATCACAAAAAATAGCCAAACAGTCATTGACCTTACCATGGTGTCAGGTAATCTGCTAGAAGCAGTCAGAAACTGGGAAGTCTCAAACGAACACTCTTTCTCTGACCATAGATTTATAGAAACCACTTTATCGCTAGACCCTCCTACTCCAGCTGAATTCGTCAACCTTAGACGTACCAACTGGCGCGCTTATAGGGAAGCCCTACTAAACATTCTTCCAATAGAACCCCCAAGTGACAACAGTGATATACTCAGTCTTGATAACATAGTAGGGATGTTCACGAATGCCTGCAACTCGGCTTTCGAAGCAGCCCACCCTAAACGCAAACCGAGAGGAACCAGAAAGCCTCCTTGGTGGACACAGAAACTTTCAGAACTCAGATCCAGTTGCAGAACCCTTTTTAACAGGGCAAAAGCAGGAAATGAGGATCTAAAATGGCAACAGTACAAGTTAGAACTAGCCTCCTACAAGAAGGCCATAAGGAAAGAAAAAAGATCAGCTTGGCAGACCTTCTGCTCAAACATAGAGGAAACAGCCGATGCAGCTCGGCTTAGGAAGATCCTCTCCAAAACAACCCCCTCCCTGGGGTACCTTCAAAAACCAGATGGCTCGTGGACAGACTCTAGTGAGGAGTCCCTAAGCCTACTACTAGACACCCACTTTCCGGGTAGTCTCCCGGTAGAACGTCTCCCAGGAAATCATGCAGGTCTAAGCATTGACTTGGAAACGCTTCTTTCCGAACGCAACATAAGTTGGGCCATAAACAGCTTCAAACCCTTCAAATCACCAGGACCCGATCATCTCTCACCTGCGCACATCCAACACGCAGGTCAACTTGCCATCAACTGGCTAAAGACAATTTTCCGTACCATTCTTAGGATAGGAACGTTGCCATCATCATGGAGGGAAACAAAGGTAGTCTTTATACCCAAAGCGGGCAAAGCCTCGCACACGACGACGAAAGATTTTAGGCCCATAAGTCTGACATCCTTTCTCCTTAAGAGCTTCGAGCGACTGATTGGACTGCACATCAGGTCAGTCATAGACTCGAAACAGTTATCAGCAGCGCAGCATGCATATTCAAAAGGCAAGTCCACCGAATCAGCTCTACACGCGGTAGTCAGCCAAATCGAAAAGTCACTCAATCACAAGGAATACGCACTTGCTGCATTCCTGGACATAGAGGGCGCTTTCAACAATGTTCTCCCTACAGCCATAACCGAATCCCTCACCGACCTGGGTGCTGAGATCCAAATCGTGGAGTTAATCCATAAATTGCTGATGAGCAGAATGGTAACCTCCACGCTAGGAATCTCAACACAAACAAGGTTCGTGAACAGGGGAACCCCTCAGGGTGGAGTACTCTCCCCCCTGCTATGGAACATCGCAGTAAATAAGCTGTTGTGCTACATGGAAGGGGGTGGATGCAAGGTTGTGGCATATGCGGACGATGTAGCCATTATTTTCTCAGGAAAATTTCCTCAGACACTATGCGATCTAATGACCGCCAAACTTAAAATACTCTCTGACTGGACAACAGAAAGAGGCCTCGAAAACGGAACTGGTGCTGTTTACAAACAGATACAAGATTCCTCAACTAAACCCACCAATATTAAATAACTGCTCTCTCTCCTTCAGTAACAACGCCAGGTATTTTGGGTTAATATTAGATAAGCGTCTGACATGGAGACTAAACAGCCAAGAGATAACGAGGAAGGCAACAATTGCCCTCTACTCCTGCAAAAAGGCCATCGGAACCAAATGGGGCATGTCCCCAAAAATCGTCAACTGGATACACACAGCGATAGTTAAGCCTATTCTGCTCTACGGAGTGTCAATATGGTGGCCCGCGCTAATGAAGCAGACAACCACAACAAACCTAAACAAGGTACAACGAATGGCATCCTTATGCATAAGCGGAGCCCTTCGCACCACCCCCAACGAGGCGCTAAATGCTATTCTGAACCTTCCAAGTCTGGACTTAGCCGGCATGGAACGAGCTAAGATAGCTGCGGTTCGGATGAGGGACTTAGGGCAGTGGAAGCCCCAAATATACGGTCATGCCAGGATACTCCAGCAGGACACAATGATCCCACCTAGTACAGATCTATGTAAACCTATTGAATACATCCACACCCCCTTTGAAGCCTTGCTCCCAACCAGAGAAGACTGGGAACAAGGCCAGCCGGGCCCTACAGAGGCAGCCAATTTCTACACTGACGGCTCAAAATTAAATAATCAAGTCGGAGGAGGTATATACTCCGAACAACTTAATATCAGGAAATCCTTCAGACTTCCGGATC